GTGGATTTTACGAATATTTACATGGATACGATTGCTGACAATTTTCAAAGAGCGGGATGCAAGAAAAATGACTCTGAATGAAATTAGAGCACTTATTGGACTATTGTATTTTTGTGGAGTGCATAAATCTTCCCATGTAAATGTCCTTAATCTTTGGGCAACAGATGGAATTGGACTTGATATATTTCACAGCACTATGTCGTACAAACGATTTCTATTTCTATTAAGATGCTTGAGGTTTGATGATGTAAGAGATAGACAGGAAAGAAGAAAACTTGATAAACTTGCACCTATGAGAGATTGCTTTAAAACATTTATTGCAAACTGTCAAAAATTCTATTATGTCGGAGAATATGTAACGATAGACGAAAAACTTGAACCATTTAGAGGAAGATGTTCTTTTAGGCAATACATCCCAAACAAACCGGCAAAATACGGGATTAAAATATACGCCCTGGTAGATTCCAGAACATTCTATACTTGGAACTTGGAAATATCTGCCGGGACTCAGCCAAAAGGTCCAGATGAAGTCAGTAATTCTCCCAACGATATCGTTAAGAGATTGACACAAAAACTCAATAATTCTGGGCGAAATGTAACAACAGATAACTGGTATACAAGTTTTAGTTTGGCACAGGATTTATTGAAGAAAAAAATCACCATGGGTGGAACTGTAAAAAAAAAATAAACAGGAGTTACCGATCGAATTTGTTACTGGAAAACAAAAAGTAGTACATTCCTCATTATTTGGATTCCAGAAAAATATGACATTAGTGCAGTGTTTTCACTACAGCGCGAGAACGCGAGAATCTCGCATATTTTTTTCTTTTCTCGCCTTAAAAAATGATTACCGCGAGAAATTCGCGCATTCTATAAACCAATTTCAAAATTCGCGAATTTCTCGCATTTTGAAAAAAAATTCTCATTGCGCCAATTAGAATAAAATCCGTTTTACTTTTCTTCCTGGATCTTTCATTATTTTCAACATCTGCCCCATTATCTAGCCTCCCTGCTACCAGTATTGTTCAGAATCTTTAAGAACTACAGAACACCATTCCTCCGAACCTCTTTCAGAACGCATTTCTCTGCAACCACGTGTTTACTGTAGGTAAGGTTTCTTCATGTAAGACGTTCAAATTTTTTGCGCATTAATGCAAGATGGACAAATACCTTGTAAAGGCAATATCTTCTACTCCGAAACGGACTAATGAAAATGAAACAAATGTGGGTAGAAGCGATCAAAACGAAACAAGTACGCATTTGAGTTACCTAATGAGAATAGCTGATGAAAAAGTAGATATAGAACATTTTCCATATGATGATGCAGCAAAAATATTCAATGCTTTAAAAATTAGAAGATATTAAAAATGTATTATAATTAAAGAAATGATTTTTTTCATGTCTCTTTATGTTTTTGTTTTTTAATTTTTAGAAATTTCACTTAACTTTTTAAAATCTCACCCTGTTTTTGAGAAAGGGTGAGAAATTCTCACCCATTTTTTCTCTACGATGAAAACACTGCATTAGTGTCATATGTTCCTAAGAAGAATAAGTGTGTTAACCTGTTATCAACAATGCACAATGATGGAACAATAGATATTTCCAATGGTGACGCAAAAAAGTCAGAAATTATTACTTTTCATAATATCACAAAAGGCGCAGTACATGTCGTCGATGAAATGTCCGCATCATATTCTACTGCAAGAATAAGCAAGAGATGGTCTACGGTTGTATTTTTTTCAATTTTGAACACAGCAACAATAAATGCAAGAGTCTTATTGCTGTCAACGAAAAATCCGCCCACTGCATATAAAAATAGAAGAGCCTTCTTGAAAGAAATTGCCATGGCTCTTATAAAAGAGCATATTCAAGAACGGAGGGTTCAACCATCCATACCCAAAAAGCTGAAAGAAAAACTGCAACATTTTTCTGCGGAAGACGTAGAGCCGTCACAAAAGAAACAAAAGTACAATACCAAAAAAAGGTGCTACATTTGTTCCTCCTCAAAAGACAGGAAAACCATAACACGTTGTGGCAAATGCCAGAAGAATGTATGCAATGAACATTCAATTACAATGTGTGATGTATGTGCTTAAAATGTAAGTTTTTTTTTTTTATTAAAATATAAATTTCTCATACAAACCTTAGAAACATATTGTCTCCATGTTTATCTATTTAATTTTATTATTTAAGAACAAATGCTATCAATTCATTGTCCTAAAACAGTTAAAAAGTAAGAAAGGGCCCATTGGACCCACCACGCTTGCTCGCGTAATATTGTGAGCGCGCCTTCTGCCGGGTTAAAGAAAATTAGAACTTCTCGGACGGCGAATGTAAGATTGAAAACGATACGCGAAAACAAAAATTTTCTTTGATGCAACCTAAAACGAGTTTGATTTTTCTTTTATCATTTTTTATAATTAATTATTATTTTTTATATTTATGACTTTTAATTATATTAGTATAAGTTTTAATCATTTTATTAATTCTGTATTATGACTTGATAAATTGCCTACGTTTTTAGAAATTATATTTTTCTCAGAATTTTTATAATTATATTTTTTCATATATTTACAGCTCAATATACTTAGCAGTTCCAGCGCCGATTATTAATTATATTAATTCTACACACATAAATAAAAATTTATATTCTTCTTGGTGTTCTAATTTGAAACGAATTAATTGTAAGATATAAATTAATCCCCATTATCTTGCAAACACCTATTAATTACTTACATTTTTAGTTAATGCAAATAAATAGTTAGAATGTTTATTCTGGATATTTCACAATGAAACTACGAATAGGTTTAAAAACAAAAGACAGGGAACCCAGAATCACTTTTCGAAACTAATGCTTACAATGTTCAGCTTTGCTTAGGGAGGGATGGGATAGTTTAACTGACCCTCTATCAAATATCACTGTGCCAATTCACTCCTCCCTCAAAGCGACGTCCCCAAAGTGTGAGACTTACAAATGATTTTGCCAATTCGGGTTTTTTATCTGGGTATGGCGTCCTCTTAAACATGCACCATTTCTGACAGCTTCCATTGCTTTTGCAATGTTTTCTTCACTAACTTCTAGTTCAGTGTTCTTTTTTTTATATGTTCCCAACATTTTTATAAACTGTAAGAAGGTAAGATAACAGGATTGAGAATTTTATTAAATATAATGTTACACGGTAAGCTTTTCAATTTTCTTAGAATTTAATTATTTTCATTCTAAATAAAATTTTCTTGAATATTTTTATAAAATTATAAAATAATTATTTTATTGACGCTTTTAATGAATTCTTTGTAAATAAATTCTATTTTCAACAACAATGCAAGAAACTGAATCTTGATTTTAAGCTTTTAAAAAAAATTTCATATAATTGAAATTTTTTTTACAAACATGCTTCCTTGAACACATTCACATGTTTTTCAAAAAATTTAGAATAATGCCTTGCAGAAAAAGTTGAGTATTTTAAATGCAGCAACCATAATTAATGGGCTTTTTGCAGATTAATGACTTCTGCAAGATTACTTAACAAAAAAATAATAAACCTGGGGCACCTTTCAACACTATTGTGCCCCCTAAGCTCTGTTGAAATCTGCCCCTGGTACAGACATTTTGGTTAAAGTATTATCAACCACTTTAGAAAAAGACTTTTTACTAATAAATAATACAGTTAGAAGCAGAATTAAATAAACTAGCAGATGAATAAATATCATTTACCTTATTAAAAAATTACTGGTAGATAAACAATTTTATAATCAAAACTGTCTTTTTACTTTCGGAATGTTAAAACATGCTCCACAGAGTAACACAACAGTGGTAAAAAGAAAGTGCTTAAAACTAAATGTCAACAGTTATGCATAGTTAAAGCTTATTGTCTGGCATATTGGCAAATCATTAAGCAATATTAGAAGGCAGAAATTCTAGTTGTTGAAAGGTGTCCCATGATGAAATGTACCCCCCTCTCCCCTACTACTATTTAGTTAATTATAGGTGCTGTGATATTAGGTACTTAATGTACTTAGCTAGGTGTATAACAATTTTTAAAAAAATCAAAATTACTAAAATTCTGCAATTCAGGATTATCCTATATGAAAGTTTGCATTTTTTTTTTTTTTTGACATATTGAATTTAATGTTTTGTATTTCATTTAAGAAGATTTCTATATCACGATCAGTGGCAGAATTATCACAATATCTTGATAACTTAGGGGTAACAGCTTGCAAGAAAGTAAAAAAAAAAAAAAACTCAGAAAAGACAGTTTTTTTTAAAAAAAACTTCCTGTCAAAAATCAATTTGGCGACTTGGCAATTGTAGTTTGGCATGGCAAATCACGATACAGCAATAAATTTCTTTCAACCAAAAACATATGTTTAAAGCAAATGTAGTTCAAGGAATTATCTAAAAAATTTAAATTGAGGATAAATAGAAATAGGTTTATAAATTAAAAGTATAGGTTTATAACGATTTCTTTCAACCAAAAACACATGTTTAAAGCAAATGTAGTTCAAGGAATTATCTAAAAAATTAAAATTGAGGATAAATAGAAATAGGTTTATAAATTAAAAGTATAGGTTCATAACGAATGAACATTAAAATTATTTATACATAGCAGGGAATCAAAGTATAATTTCTCTTCAGATATATTATGAGTGTCATCAGATATTTATGAGGGATCCTATTTTATAAGCACAACACATTATCTTACTGCAGTTTTCTATGGAGCAACTAGATAAATTAACCATAAAAAAGTTTTATTACAGTCTCTGAAAGCCAAATTATTTCATACAGCAGCTCCCATCGCAAATTAGTTTTGCAATCCTAATAAATGTCAAAAAGTGATTAATCAATTTTATAACAATAAAATATTGACAAGAACGCAATTGAAAAAATTACGATTTCAACGAAGTCATAAATCTGAAACAGTCAAAACAAAATAAATTAAATGAGATAATCGAAAGAGTAAATAAAAAATGGCCTTTTAATTTAAACTGGCAATCTTTACCTTGAAAACATTTTTTGTAGCTATATGCCGCAAAACTGTCCATACTACTGCTAAAAATAAGACAAATAAAATGTCACAAGTTGTAAAATTATAATAACGCCATGTGAGTTCTATTGGTTGAGGTTCTCTTTGGTCTATAAAGGTTTCACGATATGTATTATATATAAACTCTCGTATGCCTTTAATTAATTCAAAGTAGGATGGAAAATTCTCCCAGTCTGAACTAGTAGCAGCCATGACAGTTCACGTCAAAGTTTATCATAAAAAGGAAAGATACAAAACACTGGATATTAATCAAAACACTATTATATCGCATGTTTTTACAGAAAAGTGACTCATCCGCCATCTACATTCCCAAAAAAAGGGCCGGTACAACTCGGCACCAAAACAGGGTTGCCAGACTGTGAAATTAAAAAATACTACAACTTTGTCTGAAAAAAATACTAATGTAGTTGCCCTTTACAGTAGTTATTTGGAAGTTTAAATAATATTAAAAGGATAAAATACTATTTAAAAGTAGGTACTTTATTTACGTCGCACTAGAGCTGCACAATGGGCTATTAGCGACGGTCTGGAAAACATCCCTGAGGATGATAGGAAGACATACAATCGCGATTTTGATTTTCGGCAGAGGGTATGGCTCCCTTGCTTTGGTAGCTCGGCAGCCTGAGCGCGAAGTCGAGCACTTTACGGTAGAACAGTTTCACGAGGATCATTACCACGCACCCTTGGTCCCTACGCAGGCTGATCAAAGTGGTCCGCCTGCGCAGCCAGTGTAGTGTTGCCAGATTGGGCTACTTTTAAAAGTGCCCGCTACTGAAAATCAAATTTGGGCTACTCATTATTTTCGAACGCCACAAATCTTAAAAATGGGCAACATAAAATATTTTTCTATTTAACAAAATTTTTATTTTCCCATAATAAAATGATTCTGAAAAGCCTACAGTTTCTTTACCTTTTTTTTTTTAAACCCATTCTCTTTAGTTTCGGATTCTTCATTTGTTTTGTTGACTCGTGAAGTCGTGAAGATATGTATTGGCGATCGAAATGGGCTGCAGGTGGCGTAGAGCAGAACTCTCTTCCTATGGCAACACTTCACATGCTTTCCCCATTAGGCCGGCCGCACACTGAGGAAGCCAGAGAGAGGTGAAAACCCCCCAGTTTGACTCTCGCCTCTCCACCAAACTGGTTTTCAGGGGGTAAGCTGAAAAATGACTGCACATTGGGGAAGTGTTCGCCTCCTCAACGAAAGCGTAGATACCGCAGATGTATGTGTTAACTGGAGTCAAAAAAGACGTTTTTTAACTAGCAAAAAACACTATTATATCGCATGTTTTTACAGAGAAGACTTATGTCTGTGGGTACAACCGGCTGAGCAACTGCGCATGCGCTTGAAATGCTTGGCTAGAATTTAATTTTCACCAAATAATTTCGAAAAGTAACCCTGTTGAAGAGATTGCGCGGAGGTATACATAGTTTGTTGCTTTCAGGTGTAATTAAGTGTAGCTTCGATTGCTAGTGTAATACTAAGCTCTTTATTTATGATTCAATTAATAAAGTAAGTTAATTGTTTTAAATAATTTTTTTCTGTTTATAATATTGTATCAATGTATTTAGAAGCGTTTACGACATTTTATAATTCTAATTATCTGTGATAAAGTAGTTAAAGATTTCCACGTTACTGAGTTAGGCTTAGTTACATATTTGAATTTGTTTTCCCATTTTTATCTTTGATATAATAGAAAATTTAATATAATATAAAATGTCTGTTAATAAAAGAGTATTATTTTATATATTCGGTAGTTTATTCTTTTGCATATTTAAACTGTAATCAATAAAAAATTTCTGAACTGTTCTAATTCTTTTATGTGTGTAGAAAATATAATAAATGGTAATTATATGGTTGTAAAAGGTGTCAATGTACCATCATTTACAATTGAAAGGTTATTAATTGTAAATTGGTATATTGACATTATAATTACTTTTCTTTAAGATTATTTAACCATATGTAGATTCTTAAATTATGATACTTATAATTATGAATTTATTGAAATTTTTAGATGTGTTTATAATCCCTATTGTATTTCTATGATAAAAAAAATTTGACTACTATGATTGAGCTTACGTAGTAATGTGGTAACTGTAGACTTGTATATCACATTGAAGTAAATTTAACTAAGTTAATATAAAAGAGCACCATAATAAATCTATCAAATGTTATCTGAGTCTTTCATTGTTTTATTATTGGGGTAGTTTTTACTAAATGATGTATTTAGCGACATATTTTCTACTGAATCTACTTGTGCAAAATTCCAGTAAAGTTAAGATTATTTTATAATTATATATATTTCCCATCAATAATTGATGAAATACCAGAATGTATATAAGTATTGTAAGATTTCTTGAGCAGAGGTTGTGCAAGCATTACCTTTAACTGTGGAGAAGTGATGCAGTTTAGCGATAATCTATGATGCGCAATGGCTCAGTGGGGCTTTAGTGAGGGAACTTGTTTATTATTTTGATATCAAGTCTTTCTTGCTATTGCCCCTTCTAAGCCGCATCTTTTGATTTCCACAAATCTGATAATATAGGTGTATTAGTAAGTATAATGGTGATTGGTGAGTATATTACCTTATATGTATATAGTTTTTGTTTACATCCTCTTAAAAGGGATATATATTGTATTATTAAGTT